TGTTTTTTTCCCCCCCACACCTCGTCGTTCAGTTGCCAGTGTAGACAAAGCCTCCCAGTGTAGACAAAGCCGCCCAGTAAAGTGATTTCAGAGAAGTGAGAATAAGTCATGAATGAGGGCATAGTTTTTTCCAGGCAACATAAACAAATCTATGACTACTTTGCTCCAATGGGGCAAATTTTTCCTATGCCACCAACATGGGCTCTTTCGCTCAAATTAGTCTGTATTTTTAGCATATGCAACAAGGCTTGAAAACTTCCTCAAAGCACTGATAATTTAAGGCCAGTATAAAAAGGTCTATAGGCCTTCTCTTAGATTTTACAATCTCTAAATGACCTCCATGTATCCTTTTCAATATATTTTTCTCGAACACCTTAAGAATCACCATCCTAGTGTCTTTAAACAAAATCCTACCTCGGAGCAAGAGCTCCCCCTGAATCGGTGATAGGACCTGGGAACATGTTGTCCTGGTCACCCTGGGCTAGTAGCTTTAATCACTTTCTGCAGGTTCTCATCCTGAGCTGCTGCTCTGGAAATCACAGTCCACATGGCCTGTGAGACCCGAGAGTTTTCTTTTAAAATCAAATTGACATGCATAATGGCTAGCTCTGGACTTTGCTCCACAGTACTTTGGCTGAATGCTCTCCAGAGAGTGTCGGACCCCATCGAATCTCTCCCAGGCTTGTATTTGATTTGCAAATCATACATTTGTAAGTGAAAAACTAAGATCTGTATTCTTGGCGGGAGGGAGAAGGAGAAGGGAAGGGCTCTTTTGGGAATATTAAGCGGATTATGGTCAGTTTCAGCTGACACTGTATTCTTTGTCGCTTTTTACAGATCCAGACTAACACGGCTACCCCTCTGATACTTGACACCATGCAAGGCACTGCATTTAGTAGTATGGAGTGGAAATCCATCAGCCTCATGAAGAAACTTGCACAAGTACAGACAGATATCATCTTCCTTTCCAAATGCAAACGGATGGACATCATACCAAATGGACTGAAGGTGAAAAATCCATTGCTATTGAACTAACTTCGTTATCTTTAGACTGATTCTTGCCTGCATATTTATACCTGCCTTTGGAAATTTCCACTACATGCATCTGACGAAGTGGGTATTCACCCACGAAAGCTTATGCTCCAATACATCTGTTAGTCTATAAGGTGCCACAGGACTCTGTCACTTTTTCACGGCAATAAAGACACAAAACTTCTTACACACATGGACTCATGTCAAAGCCCTCTTCTCTGAGCATATTGACACTCAACTTTTGTTAGCACCTTTGACGCATAAGCCACTTGACCTCCAGTATTTGAGTATGGTCCAGTTTTGACCATACTGCTTTAAGAGGACTGCATCGAGATCCTCCTTGGAGTCATCTGAGGATAACTTGGCACAAGTGATATACTAACAATGATGGCTTTATGCTGCCATAACTTGTGTCGACCCAAGCTTGTAGCGTAGACCTGGCTGTAGACCTTACTGTCATAGTACCTCAGGACTAGGCAGGGCCGACC